TAGTTCCGTAACGGAACTGTAGCATTCCCCTTAATTTTATGTGTCCACACAATGCAAATTATGCAATTAACACCTAGCATTTCTCCTATTACCGCCCAATTTACACCTATAAATTTTATTACATTAATTAATTTTAATAATAATACTCATTAGTGAATACTATTACATTTGATTTTTTTTTTTTAAATTATTAATATTTTTTCCTGAGTTGCTGCGCGTGCTAAGAAAGCACGCCTCTGTTATGACAGCGCCAACCCAAAAGAAACGACCCTCTCATCTTCTACTCATCGACTAGACTATTAATAATTAATATAATAATAATAATAATAAATATATTAATCATAATTATTTCTTTTGTTTTTATTATTCTTACCCGTGTGCCTAATAAAGTTTGCTTTTTGGTTGAATAATTACCACATCTTTAGCTTCAATTTATTTTACTCTTTTGCTTTAAATTTAATATTTTGTTAATCCAGTGAATCAAATTGGTGAAAAATAAATTATTGTGTTCATAACAATTTGAACTTAGGTAAAATCAAAATCTAATAGTGATCGCAGGCGATAGGATAACCGTCTTACTAAAATATATAGGGAGATTCTACGGTCTCATTACGGAACTATTCCGTCGGAGTTTATAACCGTTAGATTAAATATCCATGACGTTTACAAGATGATCTAACTGTTACAAATATATGAGCGAATGAACGAATTTAAATGTCTGACTTGAAACTAAATTATGAACCAATAGTTTTTAATTAAAGTTAATTACTCAATTTAAACTTAAACGATGCTTAACGCCACAAGATAATCACACACGTGTGGGCAAAAAATAGAGGGCTTTAATTTGCAATGCATGCGGACAAAATCATATTAAGATCATTTAATTAGTTCTCATCAATGGGTATAAATAACCTCAAGTTAAACTCTTGTTAATTGGGTTCATCATAAGTAATTAACAAATTATAATTACAAGGAAACAAATAATTATGCTTAAATAATTATATTTGAAATGAGTTTTAGTTAGGCAAAATAGTTCGTTATATCACGACCTTTTACCATATTGCTAAAACATCACGACATCTGGACCTTGGCGGAGAATATCAAAACCTTTGATTTCTTTGCAAAACGATACATGAAAGTCGAAAACCAACCATCGTTACATTATTTAAAATCATTTCACAAAAGTCTGAAAGTATCATCACCTCCGAAATACTCCTTATTGTTCTCAATAGTTACAAATCTTCCCCCATGGGGTATAAACGATGGCCGGTTTCTGACTTTCGTGTATCGTTTGGCGAAGAAATCAAAGATTGTGTTATTCCCCGCCAAGGTCCAAATGTCGTGATATTTTAGCAATATGGTAAAAGGTCGTGATATAACGAGCTATTTTGCCTTTTAGTTAAGCATGGTAGGTTGAAACGAGCTGAACCAAAATCTTGATACTTAGGCTCGAGTTACGGCCTTTATCGAGTCGAGCTGTTAACTTAACGAGTTCGAGAATTAAGAGGTTGAACAAGTGTACCGCGAATATTGTAGTTAAGGACAGAATTTGTGAAAATGACATATTGATTTTCAAATATGAATTGTGTAATTAATCTAATCTACCCCACATATGAAATTGAAAGTTATGCAAGACTTCATCTAATACGTAGGACTGATTGGTACGTATTGACCTGTCTCCACATTCCATTTTTCATCGTCTAATGAACAAACATAAATACATGAGAAGAAAAGGTAGGGACCGTATATATAAACAAGAATCGGGCAAGGGACCAGCTGAAAATTACTCTTTTAACCAAGATTCAGTTTTTATGATCCCAATTAAAATTCTTTTTTTTTTTT